GGAGTTGGCGCCACCACTGGCGTTGCTGCTGTTGCTGTCAACCTGGGGAAGTTGACCTTTTTATGGCCCTTCTGATTGCAATGAAAGCAAATCAGGTCTAACATCTGAACAGTAGGGGAAGGGGCAGTACAATCCCTACCAAAGTGCCCTGTCTTTCCGCACTTGTAGCAACCCGATGATCCCACTCTACAAGCTCCCTCATACAGCCTGCCGCATTTCTTGCAGCGACTCTGGCCCGGATTGCCCTTTGACCTAGTGTCAGATCCCTTGGGTTTCCTCCTTGAAACCCCAGTAACCTACTCTGTCTCTATCTTTCTCTTCCTGAGGTGCTCTAAATCAATCTCCCTCTCCCTCACCCTGACAATCATGGACTCCAGGGTCGGTCAGGCTGAGTAGCTAACATGCTCCTGAATACCAACCCTCAACATGTCATGATAGCGGGTCTTCCGCATCTCCTCATCCCCTGCATACTGAGGTACCAACAAGGCCCTCTCTCGGAACTTGGCGGTGATCTCCGCCACTGTCTCAATAGTCTATCTCATGTCAAGAAACTCCCTGGCTAGCTGCTGAAGCTCCATAGCTCGCGCAAACTCAGCCCTAAACCTCGTCACAAAGTCTGACCAAGTCATAGCCTCGATGGCTGGGGCTCCCAGTGAGTCACCAAACTGACTCTCACAATCCCTAGCTCTGTTTCTCAAACAACCCGCAACAAAGCGAACCTTCAAACCTTCCGGGCAGAAGCTCGTCAACTGCGCATACTCGATGTCTGCGATCCATCTCCTGACAGTAATAGGGTCCTTCTCCCCGTGAAAGTCTATTGCACCACTGATATTTGCATATTTAGCTATATTTTTATGTTGAATTTTTATCATTTATTGGCTAATTAATTGCATATTATGGACAAAAGATACTTAATATTGTTCAAATTATATTTTCAGTCCAAAAAAGAAGCTCGGAAGCGAAAGGAAGCAGGAGAAGCAGTTGGAAGCTCGGGAGTTGAACAAAGAAGAAAAACGCCAAAAAACAAGAAGGACTCGACGAGTAGGGTCGGTTACTCGGCGAGTCGCATTGAAGATTCGCGAAAATCTTGAAGTCCTTACCGTACCCGGATTTTTAATGAGGGACTAGGCGAGTCGGTCACCAGACTCGACGAGTCTCCTCTGTTTCTAGAATATTATAAATAGGGACTTTGAGACCGAGATGGGAATTTTTTTCTGGAACCCTAGGAGGCTGCTAAACGATTGGAGGTATTGCTAGAACGTGAGAAGCTGCAGAATCAACCCTACATTCAATTGTGAAGAGAATCAAGACAATTTTGGTTTATTCTTAATAACCTTTTGATTTGAATCATGTCTACATACTTTGATTTCGTTTTTCAGTTTATGTTTATTGCAATCATGAGCTAAAACTCGTAACTTCTGTTTAAGGTAGATGAATTTGTGAACATGGATTGATTATTTAAATTAGGATTTATTTTAATTGGTGATTATGTTTTATTAAGCTTGTTAAAGAACCTTATGTGTTAGCAAAACTATTCTTCTGTTAATAAATCAATAATTAAGTTGCATGAACATCTCTTAGTTATTAATTTCATATAATTTATTGTGATTACATATTTGTATGTCTAGGAATATCGAACGTGAAACTAAAATTAACTAGAAGATAGTAAGTTAATGTGTTAGCTTTTTTGATGAACATCAACAAGAGGTTAATTGAAGGGCCAATGCAATTAACCATTACAAGTCTTATTTGACCCGAATCGATAACTAGAAAATTCGTTAATTTTGGTAACTGGCCACTACTTGAGTTAATTTGTTTTCTAAGGATTAGTAATAGTGAACGTGAATCTAATCATCTTAATCGGTAGCCAATAAGGAATTAATCCGATACATTGAAATCATCCATGGGAACAAATGAGTTGAACCTAAACATAAGTCCTCTTTATTATTGAATTTAGTTGGTAATTTCGTGTTCTAGTTGTTAGTTAGTTAATTTGGGTTATAGTTATTCTAATTAAGTTTCTAGTCTTGTCAAACTAGAGGAAACCCTTCGTTTAATACTTGCTTTTAGATAATATTAGTTTTTAGTCTTAATTTTCTGTTTCCTGTGTTCGATACCCTACTTATTTAACTACACCACAATTGATAGGTCCGCTACCTTTGTGTGTCAATTTTATAATTAAAAGTAGGATTAAAACTAGTTGAGTTTACACACATCAACCACTCCCTCTGAAGTCCTTGAAGGACAATGTGCACTTCCTTGTCTGTCTGGTACCCAGAGTCACTCCTGAATGTCCGGAGGCGATCCTCCATAAACTCAATAATCCCTTCCTTGATCGACCCGAAAATGATCGGGGCAGCCTCAAGGATACCTCTCGTGATCTAGGAAGCGATGAAATCGCGTAGCCCGTTATCAACCTGCTCAGATCCCGCACCCGCACCCAATCTTGATCCTGATCTAGACCCTGAACCTCTTGCTCCATGACGCACAATCACCATTCTCAAATAAAACACATAAACATCAGGGTAATTCTCCCCATGAAAGTCTGTTGCACCACTCCCCCTGAAGTCCTTGAACGACAGTGTGTGTCCCTGTCTGGCTGGATGCCAAGTCACTCCTGAATGTCCAGAGGCGATCCTCCATCAACTCAATAATCCATTACTTGATCGACCTGAAAATGATCGGGGTAGCCTCAAGGATACCTCTCATGATCTAGGAAGCGATGAACTTGCATAGCCCGTCATCAACCTGCTCAGATCCCGCACCTGCACCCAATCCTGATCCTGATCTAGACCCTGAACCTCTTGCTCCATGACGCGCAATCACCATTCTCAAATAAAACACATAAACATCAAGGTACTTCATACTCTCCAGAGGTCTCACACACTCTCCCAGTTCCCTGGTTCCATCGAGTACAGATCCTATGCTTCCAGTAGTACGAGCCTATACGACCTTCCACATCTATCTGTACTTTCATCAAGGATTGCTTTGAGTTCACCAAATCCCTTTCACTAATAATACTTTCTAAACTAACCTCGTCCTAAGCTTGTCCTAGAGCACTCTTCAACCAACTCTCCGCCATCAGCTGCACAAGGAGTCCTTACCATCCTTCCCTAACTAGCTTGCGAATACTACTACATATTCGCTTACTAGTTAGTTAAAGCTAGCTAGAACTCCTATAAGCACAAAGAAAGCAACATTCATGCATCGAGTAACCATTACCAAGCATAACCTAATCAGGCTATCATATTGGTGACTAACCAACCCTAGCATATATCTCAATAAGCTCATTCAATAGGCATATAAGGCATCCTTCCTAGATCCTTAACCTTAATCTAGCATGCAGTTCTCATAATCACATAACAGGGATATGAGGCATCCTCCCTAGTTCCCTAGCCCTAGTCTAGCATGCAGTTCTCATAATCATATTATATAACATAACATATCATGTATGGGTATCTTGGGAAAAACTTACTTGAGCTCGGCCAGTCGCACGCATCACACACCTTGTTCTTTCTCAAAACCGTTATTTTTAAATTTCAGAAAACTATTTTCTTATAAAGGTCCTTCAAGCCCTCGATTTGAGTCCAGACACCCCCGAAGGTGTGCCCGAATCCCTCAAACCAAGGCTCTAATACCAACTTGTAACGTCCCAAAAAACTGAGACCGAAAATTTTTGTTTTAATTATATTGCTTATAAACCATATCGTTAATTAGTAGTAATGTCAGAATACAATCCCAGAAATCTCAAATGTGGAATCATGTGTGTGCGATGCGCTGCTACCCTTCCGGCTCCTTCTCCTTCAACAAAGAGGTACCTAAAACCAAAACTGAAAATTGTAAGCACTAAACTTAGTGAATTCTCCCATCATACCACATGCCATACAGTTATACATACCGCCAGGCAATTTTGGGGTGCCCGACCTACCCATGTCAAGCCATTCTGGGGTGCTGACCTACCAATGTCAAGCCATTATGGGGTGTTGACCTACCCGTGTCAGGCTATTCTGGGGTGCCTGCCTAACCCTCCGGTCTATCTCACCCAAACACGGTGACTATTTCACCTCTACCACTACCACATAATAACATATCATAATCATGCTGTCAGACGTATTTGGGGTGTCCGACCTACCCTTCGGTCCTAACGACCAAATCGGGGGGACTATTCCCTTCCTACTACCACTATCACATATAACATATCATACTGATGATGGGTTTTGAGCATTCTAAGACTCCTATGGTGTACATGTAACCCTAGAAACCGTGGATCTATGTTTTCTATAATATACATTCAAATATGATTTTTCCAAGGTTCTCCTTCTAACTAGCATAGCATGGGGTACTTGTAATATAAAAATTAGTAGAATGACATACCTTTGTTGTTGCTTGGATTCTTAAAGACTTTGTGAACCTAGCACCCCAAGTGTGATGCCTCAAATGTTTCACACAACACCACAACACTTGGAATAACTTGAGAGAAGTACACTCTGAGCACAAATTCGGCTAGCGCTCACTCTTATTGCCGTAGTGCCAACTTTGCTCCATATGAGGTTCCTTATATAGTGTGTCACATGTAGGGTTACACCATGTAAACCTTAATGTGCATGGCTTTTCATTTCCCCCATGATCTATGAGTTTATAACCTCCATGGAGCACCCAATGGGTCCTAGCCCAATCTAGTGAATCATGGATCTTAAGCCCACTATATAAGAATGAAGGATTTACATAATCAATCCTCATATATTTAATTAGTATCTTTTAATCACAAAATTAATTCTTGATCAATACTAATTAATCAATATGATTTCATATTAATATATTAGAATATATTAACAAATCATAAGTCTCCTTATTCTCATTTTGTCTATCTAATTATTGAGATGCCATGCAACCCAAATGGACC